ATAAGTGCCGAAGATTAGAGGTGTTACACGAGAGTAACAAACATAAAAAAGAAAGGAGGAGAGATCAGAACGATAGATGTTTGATAGAAAGGAAAGAAGGAGCAATCCACAACAGAGCACCCACCAACCACCTGCATAAATAGCATTTGTATAGAGCAAATCTCCGCTCAACAGCAAGCTCTATGCGCTTGACAATCTATACTATTACCCCAGCAGACATGAGAGCATTCTGAAACAATCTCAACTTCGTGGGAAGCGTACAGAGCAAGCAGCCATTTATAGGCGCTAAAACATTAACATACTGACAAGATCACAACAATTTTACGCAACTACCCTACTGTAGGTAGGTGATTCTTTTTTAAACGTCCCCATCCACATAATTCAGAGTCAGATTTAGATCATTTAGGATGTGGGCTTCTGATCCTGGTCATGTTTCTACATTTCTCTCAAGACAAGGGAAAACAGGGTAGGGGTGCGGGGAGAATGATAGAAAGAAAGACAAGGAAAACAAGAAAGAATGAAATAAAGAAAGAAGGAAAGGAAATGTCAGCATACTTTGAATCCGTTCCCTTCACGTTCACAAAAATTTAGGTGTAAAAAAAATAAAAAATTATTAACATTAATTTTTTCCGAGAGCGGGGATCATTTTGATGCTTTGTGTCCCGCAAGTTTTGCATAGAACAAATATTTTGGCGGGAAAAAAACCCAATAACAATATCAGGGAACGCGCTCTCTGATATGGGCGATTGTTCAGAAGATCCTGCCAACAAAGCCCAGCACATGCATATGTAAATAATACCCCAGGAAAAAGTTCCAGGATAAAGGAGATATCTCTGAACGGACGGGCGGGAAAGAGAGGAAGGGACACAAGCAGTGTCGTCAGGAAGTATCCCATGGGTTATGTTCCTTGATTCTCCTCTCCTCATGTGTCAGGCTCATCCACAGCGTTATGTCACATGTACCGGACCACCACTGCAGAAGAGGGCGGGGATTATACGGCTAATTCAAGGAGCTTAAAACAAACTGTAACCTCCTTGGGCTAATTTGACGCCCGGGTGATAAGTTTTGCGCTGTATGTGATAGATCTTAGCCCTACTTGACTTTTTGGTCAAACTTGAACAAGCAAAGTAACGCAGAAATCAATTTGTCAGGCATCGTGGTGAAATTAGGCGCTCGTCAAAATATTGAATTCGAAGAAATCGGAATTTTTTTGCCAGTTTTGAAACGTTTTTCTCGAATTTTTACTTCTTTGGTCAATACCTTTTATGTCTGTTTAAAAACACATTTGATTTATGGAATTTAAAGAAAAATGCAAATTAAAGGCAAAAAAAAAAAATGCCCACATTTTCAGTTTCTAAGGACGCTCAGGCTCCGGAAGTCACCAAACTTTGGCGGCCATTTTCTTGTTAATTTTACCCCTGAAACCAGGCGACCCCTACCCCCTTCAATCGCAACTATCTCGACTTCTATTCAAGATAGATTGGAATTTCTTTCTCTCAAAGTAAGACAAATGAACAACCTTCAAGATGCTACCAATAACTCTACATGCCCCAAAATCGACGAGCGCCTGATTCCACCGCGTCGAGACACATTTGATAGAGAGGCCTGTGTCGAGCGATATTTGACGTAACACCCGCTGGTCAAACGTAGGATTGGGTCGGATCAGATTGGTCGACTTTAGGACCTGGCGACTAATTATTTACACGAGATCAACCTACTTAGGCTGTCCCCATCATTTTATGAAAGAAAAATTCTGAAATTCTGCAAACTGAGCCCCAAAATGTGAAATTATGCGATTCTGTTAATTTTAACAAAGAAGGATAAAGGAAAATAATCAGAAATTATGCAAAAAAATGATTAAATTTTGCTAAATTATGCGGGGTGTATAAAACCAATGGGACAGCTTAGGGAACCTAAACAAATGGGTAACAGGGAAAGATCAGCGAAACCTAGCTTTTTTAAGAGCATCCGAGCAAAGGAATGAATGGAGAACCATGATCGCCGATGTCTGTCGCAGATCTGGCACTGGATGAGATCAAACTGACGTCTGCTTCGCTTCATCAAGTTTGACAACAGGAGCCGATCCCAACGGGTATTTAGGCATCCGTCCGTTCTTAAAAGCTCTCACCCCCCCCCCTGCCCACCCCACCCCCTCTCTCAACACACACACACAGCCACCCCTCCATCTACACACCTATCATTTCCTCCCACCGATGAGAAAGGGACACAAAGATGATGATGATGATGATGATGATGATGATGATGATGATGATGATGATGATGATGATGATGATGATGATGATGATGACGGATTAAGGAAGTGATGAGGTATACGACTCACTGGGCACATGCACTGATAACATAGGCACATTTCTCCACACCATCAGGCGCTCACAGACACACACATACACACTCACACTCACACACACTCACACACTACACACACACACACACACTCACACACATACTCACACACTACACACACACACATACACACACACACATATACACACACACACTCACACACACACACACACACACACTCACACACTTACACACAGTCACACACACACACTCACACAC